TATAAATAATATATTTATAATGAAATATATTTTTTATATATATTCTATTAATATACATAGAGTGGAGAAATATAAAATGATTATGCATAAACTTTCAGAGTTACACAGATTGTGACATTTATAAAGTTAATCAGGAATAAAATTTATATATTGCAAAAATTGCAGAAATAAAACTGCTCATGCACTCTGTAAACTAAAAATTATTTATTCTTTTTTCTACTCAAGTTTCAATGCAAGAAAATTTCTTGTGAGAACATTTTATTTTATTTTAACAACATTAAAAAAACATTATGATATATATTTCTATTTGTCGTGGGAGGAGTTCATTTATTTTCTGAAAAAGATTTGCATAAGAATTCTTTGTCCATCTACCAATTCTTGCGCATGTCTGCCGTAAGGATCGCGAGTTTGTGGAAGAGTTCGCGGTTCGACAAGCGGCTATGCGTTTGCTGCGGATGCGGCTCTTAAGTGGACAGCGGTTATGCGAAAAACGGCTAATAACCGCCATCGGCGCGGCAATAATTTCCGCGATGCGATTACCGCCGCGAGCGGCAACATGCACGCAAAATAGCACGTGTTTCTCAAAGCAATGCGCTACCTGTGTTGCAGCTCGACGACACGGCGCTCCAACTGTACAAGGGCGGAGATTATGGCGCTTATCTGGACCTCGAGGCCTCCATCAACGAGCAACAGGAGGAGTTCGAGGGCTTCTACGAAGGTGAGAGGTGAGTGTCGCGCATAATCCACATCGGTAACATTTCATCTGGTAATAAATTTCAAGAAATTTAGGATCGAAATTTAAACTGCCATTTTTTGCACTTACATATCGAAATTTTATTCTATAAAATTTACAATTTTTTTCAAAGTATCTGCATGTAGTATTTGTACATAAGTACAAAGTACAAAGTATGTACATAAATATGTAGCTATTCTGATTATCCGAACAGAGTTTTGCGTAATTTATTTAAATTGTATAATGATAGAGGCCATTTCTGCACGCTTAATTGCACCCCGGACAGGGTTGTTTTCTTGCATGCCACCTGTAGTCGATCCTGTCGGGATAGACTCTGTATCTTTACGAGCCCCTTGCGGTTGGGCTCCGGATAATCACACGGTGGACAACCGTGAACTTAGAGTCACCAGGGTAATGAAGGATATTTAGGTGAGAGGAGGACAACGTGTGTTCTCAACACAGCGGGGATATTCGCGATTCATGTCTCGAAAGAAAAGCCGATGGTACTTTGAGTAGTCTCTCTCGTTAAGCGAAGACCCACCTCGAAGTAACGTGTTAAATACATCAGTGGTCGCGCAAAAAGTCTCGGTAGAGAGTCGAGTAATTAGAACGCTTTAGTTTGTGTGATCTCCGAGGTGGACGTTGAACAGGGTAATTTTCTTCTAAATAGTGCATTCAGTGGAGGGAATAGTTATCATTTGTAAACAGAATTTAAATGCACGGCGCGGTAATAAAATAGCGGAATAGCCTGCATTAAGCACGCGCGTCATTTTGCGAACCATCATTAAAGTGTTTTCGCTTGCGAAGGAAAAGTTTTCAATTAAAATGCCGCAACGGGCGAAATTACTATAATTTATTTGATTACAATTGTGTGGGAAATAACTTTAGAAAAAACTCACGCTTTGTATTTTACGATATATATTTTATAAATTGCTATGTATCTTACGTTAAATATAATAGATTAAATTAAATATTACATATTGCGATGATTGCAATAATTATGATACATAATGCGATAATTTAATAATTGTTTAATTTTTTAATGATTCTTTGTAGCATTGCGAAGAATTTTAAAATTGATATTTAGTTCTTTGAAATAATTTTTGAATAAGATTACGAGATAGTTTTATAACGCTTTTATCTAATTTTAATTATAATTAAAATTATACAATCGTGCGCTTTTGAAGCGTTGCTTCAAAACCTTCTATGTACATCTAGTAGCGGGATATTCGCATAATGAAATATGCAGAAAACCAGACGCTGGTTTTCTTCGTTGAAAATGCACAGCGGCTGCAGCAGTATATTTGCGGTCTGCGTATCGAATTCACGTTAACGCCATGAAGGCTAACCGTGCTCGTTGAGTATTAACGCAGGTAAACTCCCCTAGGAGGGGCGAGGTAAGTGCGATATTAAATTTAGTTCTCCTTTGAGAGCTTCGAGATCCGTGTCTTTTCGGTGACTTTCCATTCTCCTCGAACCTACGCGATTGCTCACCCACGTTGAGCGTATGACAGCGAACAATGGCATCGAGAAACGCGGAAGCGCATATTATTTTTATTTTTATCATCTTTTCTTCCCACGCAAAGATATTCTTGCGGTTCATTGAATATTTATTTATCAAGATCTGTGTTTTGATATTATCAAAATGAAGAAAATAAGAGGAAAAATCAGCAATCGTCATGCAAATAATGTACAGCTTTCTTGACCTTTTTCACATACATGTTGTTTTGTATAGATACTTTATTTAATTATATATTTTCTTTGAATTCTTTGCACACACATCACAGTTCTCAGCTCGAGAAAAAATTGACTTTATATAATTATATAAGATCAAACATAATAATATATGATAACATGTAATTTTATATGACATATACATATAATAATATCCGAAATTTGGTGCGATATGATCCTATCTTTATATAATCATATTTGGCCAAATCTGTTTTCATATATAATCAGATCTATATGACTAGATCATATTATATGGCGTCAAATTTCGGATTTAATTATATATGATCTTATATAAGTACACAAATCCATTTTTGGGGGATTTCAACACATTAAATGAAAAGGGATTATTTATATAATATCTCATAGAAGTTTTAAAACTTCAAAATTAATGTCAAGCCCTGTTTCTTATTTGTACTTTTTTATTTTGATCGCAAAAAAATGTTAGGGAAAATATACGTGTATATATGCATTGAATATATAATTACTCGTTACTTACTTAATCTTATATAAGTACACAAATCCATTTTTGGGGGATTTCAACACATTAAATGAAAAGGGATTATTTATATAATATCTCATAGAAGTTTTAAAACTCCAAAATTAATGTCAAGCCCTGTTTCTTAATTGTACTTTTTTATTTTGATCGCAAAAAAAATGTTAGGGAAAATATACGTGTATATATGCATTGAATATATAATTACTCGTTACTTACTTATAAAAAAAAAGAAGAAAATAGTTTTATTTTCTGAGATATTTAAATTTAAAAGAATTAGATGCAATTCTAAATCAGAATCGAGATTGTGCGAGATTTTCTTCGATGCATAGCGCATTGCATGCGACGTGGTCGCACATCTTTATTTTTGCAGCGATTGACCAAGATTGGAATGGTCTCGTGCGCACGCACGCACATTGGAAACAAGATCGCTTCCAGTCCATTAATCGGCACCACTACATCAGTGCGTACTCGATGCATCGCCTTCGATTGGATTGCATTTCGTCAGCCGGTGTCGCGCGTTCGAAGGCACGTTCGCGCGAAATGTCGAATAAAGCCGTAGCAGTCGTACGAGGGGAAAGGTGAGGGAATAGGGAGATTGAAATCGCGCTCGGACCATGATTTCGAACGACGAGAACTGTCGGGAGAGGGATGGGAGTTAAATAAATGTTTGCCTGCAGAGATATGTGTTCCAATATTTGAAACCCCGGAATTTCCGCGAACCGCAAAATGACATCATACGTTTACCGCACTCGTTTCTTTTCTCCGCCTGTCCACTTCACTCATGTGGTTCGATTTTTTCCTCTTTCAAGCATACACACACATATATACGTATTTAAGTTGAAATAAATTTTGCAACGGGTTTACGCGATAAACCGGAACAGAAACCAAGTTTTAGTCTTATCGAGTAAATTCGTCGTGTAAATTGTGACTATGTTCAGATTTGGTAGAAGTAATTACAGAATGTTAATATCATTTGCAATTATTTATCACGTGCCGAAATATAACTGGTAATAATTATGAATATCTTACCATCTCATTTATAGAATGTTTTTAAATTATCGCTAAATATATATATAATATACAAATTTTGATTTATCTCTAAATATTTTTAATGCAAAAATGGCTTGCAAAAATATTTTGTTGACAGTAGATTTAAAAGTTATAAAATAATAACGATAAATTTGAGAGAAGTCGGTAAAATAATATCATAAATTTTCTGAGCTCACGATTTATGATTTTCTTCTGTAAGTGGCCTTAAAAATTCACGCTTTGTTTCCGGATCTGCTGGTTATGACTGGAGATCGCTCGTAAAGTGCTAAATTACAGAGCCCGTGCTCAGCTGCTGCCTCCATGGCGAATTGCCTGTCATTGCAAACGACGACAAGCCACCCACGATGGTTTTGCAACAATTATCTCGCACGTGCAATGCACAAAAATCGACAGCGAAAAAAATTATGAGTGTAATATATGACAGTTTTCATATGAAGCTTGTTTAAATTAACTATTTGCGATCGCATATAATAGTCATGTAGTTGAAAGAATTTGTCGAGTAAATATTTTTTGATTGAATTTATGTAATTTGCGGATATGGAGAGAAAAACAGTTGGGATAGAAGAGAGGTAGTCAGCTTTCGCGCGGGTAACAAATCGTTTATCTCTTTGCGGTAATGCCTGGCAATTGTACACCCACGCGTACGAGATACCACCGCGTGCGTATCCACGATATTTCTCACGCAGGCTGTTGCGTTTCGCGTGTTCGTGAAATTAATTTGCGTATATCTGCATTCTAGGCAGTCATCTGTGTCTCGCGCATATAAACGGGAAGTTCCGTGCGTTAACAAATCGGAAAGATTTCTGAGAGAACGTTGCAAGCGTCTTTTCTTAAAATATTTTTTTTAATAATTATAAGAATCAATAAAACAAATACATTGCTCTTTGATAGAATATTTAAAGTATATAATACAAAAAGTAAATAAATTATTTTCTGTAATTGTTAATATATGTATATAAGACAATCAGAGTACTTTGTGTGCTTCTGGCATGATTTAGAAAATTTTGTTCTGAATGTTGAGATTGTATATTTTTGAAGATATTTTTTTGTATTATAAATTTCTCTTTATCAATAATTATATTATATTATAAGAATTTATCATTCTAACTACTTGTTTAATTTAATCCACTGCTTACTTTTTCTACGTGCAGGTAAGATAAAACCGCGATCGTACTTATTTTCATCCGTACTTATCCTGAGAATAAAACCTACTTACAGACTTGTTTTTTCAGTGAAATTAATCAGCCACCGGAGAAAGTAGACGGTACTAGTGGAACGTCGAAACTTATCTCCATTCCGTGCACTGCGTACTTAACTGAAAAGAGGTCTCCGCGGACCTTACCTAATAAACTTGATGTCATCGCATTTCCCTCTCATGCGCCTTCTCATCTTAACTGTCTCTTTCTCTCTTTTCCTTTTTCTTCACAAAATCTTACGTAATCTATTTGAATGCGCGTAGGTATCGTTATAATGAGGGTACATAATTACAATGAAAGATGTATATATGTATATCTGCGAGTATGACGATTGAGGGGGAAGAAAACGTTATGAAAGAGAAGAGTTGGCTGGAGAAACGGAGAGAGAGAATGACATATTCTCCCAAGGGTTCAATAACCAGGCACAATAAGTCACTAAACGTTTGTTATAGACATCGCGATGAGTAATCAGCTTCCTACATATCGGATTTTACGATCATTAAGGTATATATATAT